CCTCCTGGCCAAGGCAAGCAGGGCTGGGGCTGGTTCTGCAGGGTTCGCAGCACACCCGGATTGGGTTTCTCTCACTTTAAAATGGGAGCTGTTCCACCCTCGTTGAGGGGGACAAACCCCAGGAAAGAACAGAGAGCACCAGGCAGGAGCTCATCCCTGCACAGCTGCTGCTGTGGGGATGCCACAGTGTGGTGGTTCCAGTTCTCTGGGTCTGGATTGGAGGCACTTGAGATGTTATTTCATGCTCACACTCAGGTGTTTATCATTTCTTACCAGTAAAGCAGCCTCACTGCTGGGAGTTCAGCAGCTTTTCATTAGAAGGCACAAAATGGCCAACAATCTCTTGTTCCAAGGGCTTTTCAGACTAAACTATCCAATTAAGTATCAAGCTGCGCCAAGGGAGATACAGGCTAGAATTACAGAGGAAGTTTTTCACAGAAAGAGTGGTCAAATACTGGAATCATCTACCCAGAGAGGTGGTGGAGCCACCATCCCTCAATGTGTCTAGAAAAAGACTGGATGTGGCACTTGGTGCCATGATCTAGTTGAGGTGTTAGAACATGGGTTGGACTCGATGATCTTAAAGGTCTCTTCCAACCTAGAAATTCTGTGATTCAGAACTGACACCTGGATTATTTTCCCTTTTAACCCAATAACTGATCCCACAGAGCTGCAATGGGGACTTTTCTGCCCAATTACAAAATGCCACCCAAACCCATGGAGAAGGAGGAAGAAGCAGCATGAAGAAGAAACCCAGGATGACACCCTGTGCCCTCCATCTTGCTGCCATCCACAACACACTAAAAACCCCAAACCCTCAATTTCTCACCAAGTGACACACCTACACTGCTCTCTATAACCTATTTCACACTTTTGTGGGTTCCAGTCTGTCTTGAAGTCTGGGAAACTTTCTCCATGGATGAGGGTCAGAGTCAGTGCTGCCCTGGGGGCCAGGGCACCCCAGAGCAGACACAGAAATATTCCCAGTGCCCTGGGTTTGCACACCACAGAGCAGGGACATCTCAGGAGCTGCACTGAGCATTGCTGGATGATGTCCCTGCTGTTGGCAGGGCCCCCTCGACCTCACAACTCCTCAATTGCAAAAAACACACCCTGAAAGAGCTGCTGGTTCCCTCTCCCCAGCCCTCACAGAAAGGGGATCCTGCAGCACATCACGTCCTGCAGGGATGAGGAAATCCATGGAGCTGCTGGGGAACGAGAGCAAAGCCAAAGCGGAGAAATGTCTGCACACACATCCCCATCCTCTTGCTCCACTACAACGCCTCTTCCCATCCCTGTCCAGGCACAGAATTTAACCCCACACATCCCCAAGCTGTTCACACCCAGCAGAAATGATGCCAGTTACCTTTTCCTACACCTAAGGGCTCTCCCTGTACTTCCAGAGAGCCTTTTTTCTTTTTTTTTCTGCTTTCTTTTAAGTTAGAGCTGTTCATTTTTTTATTTGTTAAAAAATAATAATAATTAAAAAAAGAGATTGGAATGAGTGAAGGAAGGTTGAGGGAATTCTGAAGCAAAATTCTGGGATGATCTCCCCCAGGAGCAGCATCCTGGGCTGCAGGAGGATAAAATTCCCAGCATGGAAGCTCTGTGTTAAATTTTTATGGATTTTTTTTTCCCCCCCTTCTGAATCATTTCTGCCCACTGGCTGTGTTCAGACCAAGTCAGGCCACTTAGCACAGATTGATAAATAAAATAAATAAAATTAAAGGGTTTTTTTTCCCCCCAATTCCATGTGGAGTCAGTCAAGGCAGTGCAAACCAACAGGAAAAAGTTTAAATTCTGCTCATGCTGCTCCTGTGACTCCCCCCAGGACAGGGAACAGGTTACATTTAATCCTCCCTCACCCAGGACTTTCACTTCAAAATTCCCTCAACCTTCCTTCCCCCATCCCAATCTCTTTTTTTAATATTCTCTCTTTTTCTTTTTTTTTAACAGACCAAAAAATGAACAGCACTAACATTAAAAAAAAGCAGCAAAACCCGAAAACCATCTGATTTTTGCAGTTAATCTAGCCCCTGGGTGTGGGAGAGCCTAGGTTGAGCAGCTCAGTGCTGCACTGCTCTGGGGAAGGTCCTGTGGGGTTCCTGAGGCACAAAAATCCCCAAAACATCAATCCCAACAGCAACCAGCCCCTCTCCTTGGATTATTTTTAAACCATTATTTCCAAAGCTTCTTTTATCCCAGTTTATAAATGAATTATTTGCTGATTTTTTGATATTTTAAGGAACTCACAGAGCCTCCCCTCCCACCCCCAGCATCATCAGGGAGGGATTTTTTCCTTTTTCCTCCACTGAACTTTTCCCAAAGCTCCCAGGAATGTGGGAATATGGGAATCTGCTGGGTCTGGCTCCAACAGGTGCCCTGTGCCGTGCTGGGAGCAGCAAATTGAACAGCTCAGCCTAAAAAGGAGCGGTGAGAGGGCAGACAGAGCCTACAACACCTGAGCCCCATGAGAAATTTACATTTTGGGACAACAATTTAGCAAAACTCGCAGGAAAATATAATTTCTCAGCCATTGCTTTTTGCAGGGATTTTCTCCAAGCGTAAATATCCACAGGATGAGCTGATGCTTTAATTAGATTTAGTGGGGAGGGGAGCACAATTTGGGGCTGGTAAATGACAGATTTTCTGCTCTAAACACTCAAAATCAACATGAGCTGATAGAGGGGAGATGCTTGGGGCGGGATGTGATCAGACTTAAAAATTCCTGGTTGTCTCTTCCAAAATAAAAAAAGGGAAAAACAACAACAAAACAACAACAAAACCAAAGGAGAAGCGGGGCACAATGAAATGAAAATCAAATCAGGCAGCATCCAAGTGGATTTTGGTGAATTTGGGACCAGCTGGGCTGGCCTGGGAGAGAAGGAATTTGGGATGTGCATCCAGGGCCACCTTGCAGACCCCAAACCCCACATCCCCAGGGCTCATATCTCACTTGGGGATGAATAAAGAGGGAAATGCTGGGGATAAATGAAGAGGGAAAGGTTTGGGGATAAATGAAGAGGGAAAGGTTTGGGGATGAATTAAGAGGGAAAGGTTTGGGGATAAATGAAGAGGGAAAGGTTTGGGATAAATGAAGAGGGAAAGGTTGGGGATGAATGAAGAGGGAAAGGTTTGAGATAAATGAAGAGGGAAATGTTGGGGATAAATGAAGAAGGAAAGGTTTGGGATAAATGAAGAGGGAAAGGGTTGGGAGGGCGAGGGGAATTTGGGAATTTGGGCAGCCAATGCAGCAGCTCCGGGCCTCTCCCGCGACTCCCCCAGCCCAATCCAGCCCCGCTTTGCATTTCCATGGCCCGAGGGGGGTTTGGCCTTGCGAAAGAACCGTCTGAGAGCACCGGGGAGGTTCGGGGGGGAGAAGCCACCCCGGAGCCCGCGGTGTCACCGGGGAAAAGCCGCGGAGCCCGCGGTGTCACCGCCGCTGTCACACCTGGGGATGCCCCGCTCGGGTGGCACCTCCTGCCCCCATTCCCACAGCATTTCCCCATCTTTTCCCGATTTCCCGCAGCTCCGGGGACCGAGGGGACACAGGGGACAAGGGGGGACACGGGGGGACACGGGGGGACAAGGGGGGCCGGGACCGCCGGGTGACAAGCGAATATTTATGTCGGTATTAGAGGAATGCGTTTCCTTCTCCAATCAGGAATGCGAGCAGAGTTTCTAATTATAAGTTAGATGGTGGCTGGCAATAAAAGATTGCTTTTTAATGACTCCCGTCCAGGTGCTCTCTCTCCTCTCGCTCTGCCTGTCTTCCCAAGCGCACATTTGCATTTTATTGCTGCTTTTTTTTTTCGCTTTTTTTTTTTCTTTTCTTTTTTTTTTTTTTCCTCCCATCCCAACGAATTCCCTGCTTTCAGACATACCTGAAATAGTTGCAGAGGCTGCTGCCTTCACCACCCTCTCACCTCTGCACCGCCGGACAGGGGAGGGGGACCGAGCATCCCGCACCCGCGGACGGGGGGGCAGCACGGATTAATTAATTAAAAATTAATTAATAACAGCACGGGGATGATTTTTTTTGTTGTTTTTTTTAAGGGGGGGTGTTTGGGAGCCCCCCGGCTGAGCCCGCGGAGCCTCCCTGCGTTAGGGCTTCCCCGAGCGAGCGCAATTAGCTGCGCGGGTAATTAGAGCCGATCGTGCGCCTACATGCCTTGCCCAGCACCATTTGCTTTTCGTGGGGGAGCGAGCGAGATTTTTCTCTTAAAGGCGTAGGGTGCAGAGCGAGGGGAAAAAGGAGGAAAAGCGGCGAAACCCCCCCAAAAAACGAGGTGCGCATCCCCGCGCTGAGGGCGCGCGGGGTTTGCGCGGATTCTGCGCGGATTTTGCGCCGATTTTGTCCCCCCCAGCCCCGACTTTGCTGTGCCTTCCCCCAGCCCGGCTTGTGCGGCTTCACCTCCTTTTTCTTCCCCTTCCCCACCCCTATTTTTCTTTTTTTTTTTTTTAATTTACCCCTCAATATTCCTTAACGCGAAAGGAGGGGGGGAATAAAAGCAAATAAAAGCAAATAAAAGCAAATAAAAGGCACCCAAAAGTTTTGCCGCTTTCCCCCCCTCTCCTTCCACCTGACTAGCTCGAAATCACCTTGAAATGCTCATGTCAACTTCTATCATTATCTCTTTAATTCAGGCAGCGCCTTTTGTTCTTCACAGGAGAGGATCAAAGCGCTCAGAGAGGGGAAAAAAAAAATAAAAACTTTCCGATCGCTCCCTCTCGCTCTCTCTCTTTTACAGTAGGAGAAGGAGAGATCAGGTATAACCCAGTCAAAATAAACAAAGTGAATGCATAAATAAAAGAGGTGAAATGCAGGTTCTAAGAACTTGCTGGCGCTGGAACAATCCCACCTCTTTAGCTGAGTGGCAACGAAAGGAGAATTTCAAGTCATCTTTAAGCGCAGGGGTTGCAGAGAAAGCAGAGGAGGGGAAAAAAATAAATGAAAATGAGCGAAAAAAAAAAAAAAAAGAAGAAGAATAAAAACTTACCACCAGATTGGGTAACTTGACAGAGCCTGACTCAACCCACAAAGAAACAGGAAATATCCAAAAGAGGCCATTGATGAAAAGTTGTCTTTTTTTTTTTTTTTTTTGTTAACCAGAGTTGCCAAAAATCTTCCTTTCTTCTGAGGCAGGATGATTATTTTAATAATAATAATAATAATAATAATACACAATAATTTAAACCAAGGAAAAAAAAAAAAAAAGTCAAATGAAGTGAACTCAACCCGACCAGGTAAATCCTCTCTTGCTTCCTTCTACTACTCTCAAGGAAAAAAAAAAAATCTCCGAGAGGTTAAAAAACTCTTCTCTCAGCCAAGACACTGAAGGCAAATATTAAAAAAAAAAAAAAAAAAAAAAAGAAGAAAAAAAAAAAAAAGTTTGAAGTAGCTCTCTTAAAAAGGACCCAATCAGCACTTATTGCCAAAGGGAGAATTCTGATGCTTTGGCTTGTTCTGTCAATCAGGAGCGTGAAGTCAGGAATGAGCTAATTGCGAGGAGATAGTGTTTTAATACTCATTAGGGGGCACGTTGGCCCACAAGCCAAGGGATAAAATGTAGTTTTAAAAAGGGGAAGGAAGATTTAGGGGGTTTAAATAGACAGGGGGGACCCCTGTGGATTTGGGTAGCTATAACAACCTGCCCGGATTTCACTCCCTGGGTCGAAGCTACTAAAATGCAAAAAAAAAAAAAAAAAAAAAAAAAAAAAAAAAAAAAAAAGTGTGAAAGGTTTTTTTTTTTTTTTCTCTTCTTCTTCTTTTAAAAATTAGTATTTTCTCAATTCTCTCCTTCTTGCCATTCTGTCTTCTTCTTCTTCTTCTCAAAGCTCCATTTCCTCACGGGGACCGTTGGGATGCATTTGAAGCAAAACTTTCTAGAAACTTTCGCTCGGTCTCTTTTCTGGGGGCTTTTTTTGCTCCTTTTTTTCATGGGGAAAAAAAAAAAAAAAAAAAAGAGGATTTCCACCCAGGCACGCAGCCCCTTCCCCAGCAGTCCAAGCAGCCGCAGATCCAAGAGCTCCACTGAACACATCTGCTAAAAAATCGACTTTTCCCATGCAAATCTCCAAAGGGCTCCTTCAACTCATCCCAATTTCCAGGAATCCCAACCCCGGACATTTGGGAAGGCGCCGCTGCAACGACTTCATCCACCAGATCCACCCCACAGGGCACCAGTAATTGAGCTCTTTTTTAATTTCTCTCTCGCCACATTGTCCCAATTTCTCTCTTTTCAGAGCCGGTGGTGGGGGGTGATTTCTGCATTTCTGCCGTACCCAAAAATTCGGATTTTTTTTTTTTTTTTCCATAGGGGCAGAAAGTACAAAAAAAAAAAAAAAAAAACAAAAAAAAGAGAGGGGAATGGGGGGGAATCATTATTAATAATATTATAAAGATGTAGCTCCTGGATTCCCGGTCCGTGGTGGGATTTGCTGCTGCTCTGGAACATATTGGTTAAAGCTGGCTGGGGCTGGGAGCAAGTGTCACCCACAGCTGACAGGCGTCCCCTTCCCCTGGCTCATTTGAAAGGGGCTGGAGAGGCGAAAAGAGGGGATGGAGGCATTGCCTGGGCGAGGAGAGGTTTCTCCCGATCCTCTTTTCCATGGTTTTATATATATATTTATATATATATATTATTTTTTTTTTGTGGTTGTAGCTGCTTGCCACCCGTTTTTGTTTTTTTTTTTTTTTTTCCCTGGGTTTTAACACTTTTTTTGTTATTTTTTTTAAAGGATTCAGCGGGCTGGAGGAGATTTTATTTATTAATTTATTTTATTTCTTTCTTTCTTTATTATTATTTATTTATTAAAATAAATATTTTAATTTCTTTATTTTATCCGCGAATCAGAAAAACCTCTGTGGCTCGCAGGGAACAAAGCGAGGCACAATTTTTAATGACTTTGTTGGGGGAAGCCTCGCAAACCCCCGCATTAACTCAAATCAAAATGCGCTTTCATCCTCATTAAGAGCCGCATTTATATTTTCCCTGAGTAGGGAATATTTCTATTTACACACACGGGGCTTTTACATGCATATATATTTATAAAGATATGTTTGTGTGGAGCTAGATGGGAGAGATAGATTCATTCTAGTGAAATTATACTAGAAACGCAGTTCATTCGGGGATATTTAAATCACCGGGAATTTTGGCAGGGGTCGGGCCCTGATTATTTTCTTTTCGGCTTGGATGACAAGCGATTGCAAATGCGAGCTCTGGCAAAGCGCTCCGAGATTTTAATCGCGGAGCGGAGCCGATCCCAGCGCCTTCCAGAGGAGGGAACGGATGCTCTGCGAGGCTCCTCTCCCCAGCAAATCCCCGCCGTGTCGATGCTGCAATTATAGCCAGGGTATTAAATTTAAATCCATCCTCCTCCTTGGGCAGCTCCCCCGAACCCCCCAAGGGGCTTGGAGGAGGGAATTTTATTGCATAAGGTGGGATGGAGGGAAAAGGAGGAGGAGGAGGAGTGGTGGTGGTGGTGTGGTGTGTGTGTGTGTGTGAAAAATCATCTTAAGGACTTTCCCTGTGTATTAGAGAAAATCCCATCCAATTATAGCATTACTGGAAAGAACCAAACACTGCGACTTTCAAAGGAGGGGATTTCTCCGTCTTTTCAAGTGGAATTGCTCACGCTGCAGACTGGAACACACACACACACACACACACACACACACACTCGCACACAGCCAAAGGGCAGGACGCACGGACAGACGGACGGACGGACGGGGCAGGACACACATCCCTCCCGGCTAATCTGCCCCTCCTTTTGTTCCTGCAAACATCTCCCCAAGGCTCTGCCCCTCCCTGCAGGAAGCAGCTTTACCTGCAGGTACAAATTCAGCCACTCTCCCTTTTCTTTGCTTCCCCCCCTCTCCTGGCTCTGCAGCTGCCGCTGGCTCGGGGAGGAGGAGGAGGAGGATGGAGATAATCCACTTTGTCAGGGGCGGACAGACACACAGACACGGGCCGGGATGGGCTGCCTTGCCTCTCTGACGCCAGCAGCTTCTCATGACGCTGATCCCAAGGTTTGGGCTGGCTGAGGGTTATTCCCGGCCCCAGGAATTGGATATCTGTCAGCAGAGTCACTTCTGGACCTCCAAGGGCCGGGTTTTGCATTAGAATCTCAAAAAAAAAAAAAAAAAAAAAAAATGCTACCAAGCCTTAGGGATACAGGGCAGCCTCAGGGAGGTGGCACCAAAGCTGCAGAGTTTCCTCCAGGTTGGTCCCTTTTTCCCAAATATTTGCACATCATTCAGACACACGTTGGGATGAGCAGGACCTTAGGCTTCTTCTGGAACTCTTCATCAACATCCAGGGGGTTTTGAGGGAATTTTGGAGGGGAGAAATTGCCCAGAGAAGCTGGGAAATTGTGAGCACTGTGGCTTGCTCTGACGCCAGCAGCTTTACATGATGCTGATCCCAAGGTTTGGGCTGGCTGAGGGTTATTCCCGGCCCCAGGAATTGGATATCTGTCAGCAGAGTCACTTCTGGACCTCCAAGGGCCGGGTTTTGCATTAGAATCTCAAAAAAAAAAAAAAAAAAAAAAAATGCTACCAAGCCTTAGGGATACAGGGCAGCCTCAGGGAGGTGGCACCAAAGCTGCAGAGTTTCCTCCAGGTTGGTCCCTTTTTCCCAAATATTTGCACATCATTCAGACACACGTTGGGATGAGCAGGACCTTAGGCTTCTTCTGGAACTCTTCATCAACATCCAGGGGGTTTTGAGGGAATTTTGGAGGGGAGAAATTGCCCAGAGAAGCTGGGAAATTGTGAGCACCGTGGCTTGCTCTGACACCAGCAGCTTTTAGTGATGCTGATCCCAAGGTTTGGGCTGGCACATGGTTATTCCCAGCCCCAGGAATGCTCCTGGGCATTGGATATCTATCAGCAGAGTTACTTCTCAACCTCCAAGGGCCGGGTTTTGCATTAGAATCTCTAAAAAAATTGCCAGGGGCCTTAGGGATGCAGGGAAGGTGGCACTGCTGGAGTTTGGCTGCCCAAAGCTGCAGAGTTTTCTCCCAAGGGATGATTTAGGGCCGGGTTGGTCCATTTTTCCCAAATATTTGCACATTGTTCAGACACACATTGGGATGGGCAGGACCTGCCTTTGGCTTCTTCTGTCCTGGACCTGCTCATCAATGTCTGGGGAGTTTTAAAGGGAGAAATTGCCCAGAGAAGCTGTGACTGCCCCTGGAAGTGTCCAAGGCCGAGTTGGACAGGGCTTGGAGCACCCTGGGATGATGGGATGGGATGGGATGGGATGGGACGGGATGGGATGGGATGGGATGGGATTGAAGGTCCCTTCCAACCCAACCCATTCCAGGATTCTGTAACTCCACAAGAACCTGCTGCAGGAGCAGGAGCAGGAACCAGACAACTCCAATGACCCAGCTGGGACAGGGAAAAGGGGATGGGAGGACACATGGGGCTGGAATGTGGAGGCAGTGCTGCTTCTGTCCTGCTGACTCACCCTGGCAGCTCCAGGGGCACTTGAGCGTGGCAGGAGAGCTGATTTGGGAACATGAGCGATGCTCAGAGCAGGCACCACCACAGGGAGCAGCTGCTCCCAGGACAGGCTGATCCAGGCTGCTGCCATCCCACAGGAAGAGATGAGGGAGCTCTGCAGGGATCCAGACTGGTCACACTCCTCAAATAACCCCTGAGTCACTGCTGCTGCTCTCCTTGTCCCCCTGGCCTCCATGGCAGAGGCTGCAGGATGGGAGGATCACCCTCATGGAGACCCCACCAGAACAAACTCCTTGTGGGGATGAAGGTTTTGTTTCATTTTAGTGGAGGACACCAGTGATTCACCCCTTCCCTCCTTCCCATCTGAATCCCCACTGGTAAATTCTGATTTTGCTGCTTCTGCAAATTTCAGCTGGTCTGAAATTTCAAAAATTTCAGTTTTCTGGCTGGTGGTTCACCTTCCCAACTCACAATTTACCCACTTTGTGCCCCTCTCATTACCCTCTGCTCTCCAGGGATGGTGCAGCCACCCTGGCAGTGGGAAGATGGCACAGCCTGGTGTTCCTGCTGTGCCCAGGAGCACAAACTGGCTCGTGGGG